CCCCCCCCCCCCCCCCCCAACTCACAGACCTTCAATGTCACTAGAAGAATCAGATCCACCAAGCCAGATTTCTGATCATCTCTTTGGTTGGCTTGATGATTCTGTATCCTTCACCCCGTTCTCGGGCTTTGACTATCCGTACTTCCCCCCACGAGATTAGTGGTCCTCAATTCAATCATGGGAGTGGGATCCGACCCAAGATTTTGGACATTATGATCTTATGTACAAGTATAACCTTAGTCAAGATCCTACCAATGGTATTGAGATTACGAATGATGGAGCCACTGACCTGGTAAGAGGAGCTCCAATAATTGTTCTGGATCCTCCACTAGCGCAGGTGCAACCGAGTGATCAGTCCAGAAAATGTAACGGGGATGCGCTTGCGGAAGTTAGGCCGGTCAAAAGACCAGGCAGGACCAGAAGGACAACAAACAAGTCTGCTGCCAAAGCTGAATGCAGTTGTGAAGACTTTGCAACAGGTTTCTCGAAAAAAACTGGAGTAAATGTGGAAGTTTATTAGACTCCACAAACACTGGATTCAAAGGTCAGGATTCTGGAGAGAGGAAGCTAATGGAAGGAGAAGCGACAAAGGAGGCAATAGTGCGCTTAGGAGAGATGGATGAAGGGAAGGAGAAATGGTCTGACATGATAAGAAGAGCCGGATTTTCTACAGAAATATTTGGAGAGATTGCCACTGAAGGAGCCGAGCTTTATTGAGAAAGTATGAGCACAACTGGGAGATAAGAACGGAAGATGGAGATACCTTTGCTGGTGTCTCTGGTGGAAAGGAAAGGCTGTTTCCTTTTGCTCCTTGTAGAAGTAGCTCTTTATATTTGTCTTTTCGTTGTAAGCTCGCAGATTCTGAAATTGTGCTTCCAAAATACTTGCATAAACTACATTTCTGCAAAATTTATTTACCAATATTTGCTGTTAGAATAGGCAAGGCACTGAAGAATCAAGGTAAAGCTGGCCTTCTGCATAGCAACTTCTAAACTGCAAATTTTATTACCCTAGAAGTCACAACATATGGCAGAACACAATCTCTTTTCCCTCAAGCATAATATACACGCATGGATCCCCTGATGCTCTGGCAACAAACAGGGCACTTTGGGGCTAATTCCCGTTCGATGGCCAAGGCACAGCGTCGGCAACACACTATATGTCCACACGGGATAAATGCCGGAATTCTCCTCCTTGTCAAACAGACCACACACAGCTGTCCATCTGGGATGTCGTCCGTATCTTCACCATCATCGTCAGTCGATGGCTGGCTTGGGCGCTGTGGATCCCTCTCATGTTTCCATGATTTCCATTTGCTCCATCCCCTGAAGAAAAATTCAACAACTGGCTTAGATCACTGATGTGTGTTCGTCAAAGCTAACCATACCACTCCACCGCAGTTTCAAAATAGAAGCAGGCTATGACCCCCATACCTGACAGCAGCATACCCAAGGATGCCGATAGACACACAACCCATCACAACGCTACTCCAGAATAGTACTTCCGTCCGAAAAATAAGATCCAGTATCATCTTATCCTTTGACATCTCAGACCTGCAAATATTTAAAAGACCAGCTGAATATTAAATAGGTCCCTCCAGAACAGCACCTAAACTCATCAAGAGGTTTTAAGCTGAACATAGACCAACTTTTTCACACCAAAAATAGAAAAACAACCAGAAAGCTCGTTACATCTTCACACCCCCTTGTAAGAAGTGTGTTGCACTAAGCATTATCCAGTGATCAAAGGAAAGAGAACACAAAGAAATTAATATCTGAAGGCAGACAGAGTATATGTAGATACATGATCTCATATCAGAAAATTAGAAAGAAAAATGAGGAAAATATTATTCGGAGAAAACGTCTCACAAGAAATAGGGAAGATCTTTGCAGGACTTGATTTCGGGAACACCATTATTAAAATTGCAGATGCCAACAGCTGTTATCGCTTTTCCAGGTGGTAGAATCTTTTCTTCATCAAGCAGACCAACCTTGAACGGATCATATCATAAAATTAACTAAATAGGCAAGAATAGAACTTTTGGTACTCAAGGTGAGACACTCTTGGGAGACTCACAGGATACTCGGGGAAAAGGAAAGCTTGGAGGAATCCAAAAGGAGATGCATTAATAGGCTGTAAGCGGTTATATACAGTTGTGAGGGGCAGAGGTTGCATTGAGCCATCCATGTTGACAACAACAAAATTAGGCAGTGATGGTGGTTGTTGATCGTTTTCCATGATAACAAACGGCACCTGCAGATAACATATATCAGGATTCAGGAACCAGTTTAGTATGGAATAGACCCAAATTGAGAGAACTATATTTAACAAGAGGGTTAAGAAGATGAGTAAAGGTGTGTCGTAACCATTATATCATTCTCAAATTTCAGAATTTTAAGCTCCGATACATTTCTGCAATAAACATGCTATAATAGACATTAGCCAAGCGAAGAACAACGGAGGCAGATTTTTACCATTCTCAATGAAGAAGCCTCTTGTTTACGCAGAGATCTGCCAAATAATGCTCGGGGGCCGCTTGTAAACTGAAAGAAGCTCTTCCATCCACTATACACATACTGAAAGAAATAACTATAAAAAGATGAAATCACATGGTTTAATCAACCCGAATCATTTACATCTACACTCATAGTCAAACCAATTCAATTGCGAATTGCCACAGCTCTCTGCATTGAAGAAAGATGCTACTCAGACGAAGTAATGACCTTTCTTGCCACCAAGTTCAGCGAGTTGAACCCAATCAATTAACTAGGTACTAAATCAGAACTATTGCAGACAAGTTAACCAAAACTGTACAGACGCATTCATGCATATAACATTGAATGTATAAATACAAGTACACCCACATATACATACATACACGTACCGTTTGCGTTCTCTCAATAATAACAGCTCTGTCTCCAGTCTCCTGAGACACCAGGACGTTGTTCTTGCAGCCCCCGTCAACGGCGAATTTCGGCTTGACGGTCCCTCGAACGATCACCAAACGCTGATCATCGCCATTATGGTGATCATACTGACGCGATTCATCTTCGGATGCTGGAATCAACGACCGGAGATCGGAAATGCGGACCTCCGGAGAATCTCTGATCTTACGCAACGCAGCGGAGCTGGAGGTGTACTTGAGGATCGAGCGAACGGCACCGAAAGCTAGGGTAAATCCGAGGACGGAACCGTCGAATGAGAAAGCGAGCTCCGACAATAGCGAGAGTAGAACATGCTCCGCCGATGACATTTCTGGCAATTTCGACCTAGAAAGCGAAGAAGACGAGATTCAAGGACGAGGAAATTAGCCGACATTATAGGGAGAGTAAAAACGGGTAAATTCGAGGGCATGTGAGGGGTATTATCGGTAATTAAGAATGACGATGTCGGTTATTGGGCCTTTAATGGGCCTAGCCATAGTTGATCTTCTCTCAAAAGTCAAAACTTTTAAAAATTCATTTTATTATTTTTTTTTTAGAAAATTCCATAAAAATACTCAATTTACAAATTAACAAATAAATACTCTAATTTGGTGGTAACAAATAAATATCAATTTTACCAAATAAACATCAATTTGACATTGTGATACCTGGTCGATTTAATATATATTTCACTTCATATAAAATTTGATTAAACTGGAATATTATGATTTTTTTTCCAAGCATAACAACTTCAGATGACAACAAAATGAGAATTTCATAATATATATATATATATATATACACACCGCTCCTTTTGCCATAACCAGAGAACCCCTTATGTACAACAAATTTTCTGAAGCATACAACACTAATATACATGAATAAAGATTTCAGTATAACTTATGAGCAGGATGAGAAAGTGACGAACTTTGTCTAGCTTCCCCATCCGACCATGGTGCGTGGGCGCGAGAAGGCGAGACCACGGTCGTACATCCGCTGAATCTCTTCCCTGTATTCCATCAGAGACTTGTCGGAAATGGCCGGAGTTAGCTCGACCACGTCCCCCATCTTCAGCTTGCTCTTTACATCTCTCACCGGCTCGTTGTTTATCCTCGGCCTTAGCTCCTCCTTCGCTGGGATGCAGTACACCGACCATCTCGAGCTTCCGGGCCCCGCCCTGTTCAGGAGATCCGACACAGTTGAACTCTCTGGGAATTCTTGCACAGACATCTGCAGTTCAAATCCACCATCGTTCAAGACAATCAGCATGTGTGTGTGTGTATATATGCATGATGCACGTGCCACGTGGTGTGTAAAGAGTTTATAGTACATGTTTGTTCAGAATGCCAATGGATGTGCATATCAATCCGCCATGTGAAACAAGAACACAACTACAAGCATACCGACCAAAAAGTGGAGGTGAATCAACAGAAAGAAGATGAACCGACCTTGTCATTTTCGATGACGATGACATAGACCGGACCATCTTGGCTACCGTGAGGCTTGTAAGAAAACGGGCAATCCTCGGAGTGAGAAGGAAACGAGCAAGGGGGATGAATGGAACCGGAAGAGCAGATAGAAGACTGGTCTTTGCTCATTGTTTCGCAGTGCCAAGTCACAACCCATCTCGCCCATTCAACCATCTGAAGCACAAACTTGGAGTGCTTGCAGTCACCTTCCTTGTATCTCCAGTGTGCTGCAAATCCAAATTCAGCTTGCAAATGCATTTCCTTTGTTCGTATTTGAACTTCGAGTGGAACCATCCCGTCATCCATCACTACCGTATGCAAAGATTGGTACCTAAAATCCAAATTCAAAGTCAGATGCCAAGAAAGATTTGCACTTCTTCAATCATAACACAATGAAAACGGATGTGAACCTACCCGTTGAACTTGGGATGAGTTATGTAATCTTTAAGCTTCCCAGGAACTTCAGACCATAACCTGTGAACTACCTCCAAAGCCTTGTAACAGTCTTTCTCTTTGTCAACGATCAAACGTAACCCGTGAATGTCATGAATCTCATCCATGGTTAGCTTTTTCCTGGAGAAGAAAACAAGGGTAATATAATCATCAGCAGTTTACCAAATTCTCAGACCAAAACCTTTCAAAGATTCCATTTTCACAAACTCCTTGGACCAAAAAACGGGAATATATGATGAACAAGACGTGAATGCAAAAGACAACAATCGAAAGAGAGCGTACTTCAACATTTTGCAGTAGATACTATACAAGCTCTTGTGTCGTCCGGATAACACATGATAAGAAATGCCTTCTTTCTTAAGAGCCTGCTCCAATTTCTCTATAGCACAAGTAATCATGGCTTCATCAAACGAATCCTCAAGCCTAGCAGACATCTCGTGATGCTGGTCCGGGTAAAGATGCTTGAAACACATATTCTCCAGCTGAACTTTCCAAGTAGAGATTCCCAACCGGTTAGCAAGTGGAGCAAATATTTCCAGAGTCTCCTTTGCAAACCGTTGCTGCTTCACTGGGGACAAAGCATAAAGCGTCATCATATTGTGCAAACGGTCAGCCAATTTGATCAGAACAGCCCTTGCATCTGCCATGGCAAGAAACATAGTGTGCAGCCGATCTGCTTCTACTGTTTTACTTGCGGTATTGTTCTCGCGAGCAAGCTTACTCAGTTGGCTAAGCTTGGAGACCTATGAAATACACATTGAAGAAAGTCAGTGACTTCGAACAATCTATTTCCACAGATAATGACGTAACCGAGTTTATAACATCAACAAGCCCGACTCATCCATAAGAAACAATGGACAAATTTCACAAAAAGAAACATAAGGGTTCGTCTCCTTCTGCATCTGGCACACTGTTTTGGCAGATTCCACCAATAAGATCTGAAGTATTACAAGCTTCTCCATCGCATTTGTGGAAATGCAGATCAAGAACTTTGTTTAAAGACACTATGGCAGACAGAGAAAACCTCAGATCACATCATTCAACAGATCTTTGTCACTTACCCCTTCCACCAAATCAGCAACTCCTGACCCAAACGTTCTGAGAATATAGTCGTAGCTCATAAATGAATCGTCCATAGTATCATGTAAGAGACCCGCAACAACGACAGTGGAATTAGCTCCGATCTTAGCCAACAACAAAGCTGTCTCGACGCAGTGCTGCAGGTATGGATCACCACTTGCTCTCATCTAATAAACACAACAACAAATCACAAAATCAGATACAGAAACTCACCGAAACTCCACAAAAAGTTTGAAACTTTATCGTGTTCCTACCTGCCCTCTGTGAGCTTTCTCTGCCTCATAAAATGCCTTAATCACGAACTCATCTTCGAAGATCTTGTGCCTCAACTGGGCACGTCTCAGCAAATCCCTAGCATATGGCTGCATCAAATCTTCCCCGAATCCATCATCCATGCTGAAAGGGAGCTCATCCACAAGAACTGAATTTGATGATGAACCCATCTCGAATCCCGCAGGATCGTAATCCACGCACGAACCCAGCGCTTTCCTGACAAACCCATTGAACAGTCCGCTAGCTCCCGCGCGGAACGAACCATGGAAGCTCCCGTCGAGGTTCCGATCGCGATAACTTCTCATGGGCGGGCTGCTGCTACACGACACCGGTCCATGAAGAACCGAGACGGGGCTTTGGTCCCGTTTAAGGTACGAGGAACCGACGAATTTGCTCGGAGAATAACAGAACGAGCTGCTCAAGCTCAGATCCTCGCTCCGATCGTGACGTATGGACGCTAATTCGTCTCCTCCGGAAGGGTACGATGAGCAGGACGACGCCGATTTGACGGATCCGCCGGAGAAAAGCGAAGAGAGACCCCCGACGATCGGCTTCTGCGGCGAAGAGGCCGTCGAGGACGCCGACGACGATGTCCTGGAATTCAGATCGAGATCGCAGGAGATATGGGAGTTGATCTGATGCGGTGCGGAACAAACGCTGCTCGGCGGGCTCGCGTAGAGCGCTATTGTCGTCGTCACCACCATTGGAGCCCGCTGATTCTGGTTCAGAATCCTTAGGTTCAGGTTTCAGGTTCCGAAATTGAAGAGCACAGATCAAGAAACCCGGCAGAAATTTTATGCCCAGTAAACAATTCCTCCCAAGCCCGTCTTTTTCCGAGAAATTGAGCGATTCCCTAGGAAATTCGCCTTTCTTCTTTTCTCCCTCTTTCTCAGGAAACAAACAGATTTATCGCTCTGATACAAAGCCTAGGCTTCAAGCTACCCAATCGGATTCTAACGATTCAAAAAACAGAAAATTTGTGAATTTGTAGACGGAAGAACAAATCGAGCCAAGATATGTGCAATTTATAAAAGTTGAAACATGAAATTCAATTGGAGAAAAAGAAAAAAAAAAGAAGCAGCTACGAAAGAGAAGAAGAGTCGAAGACGCTATTGCTAAAGGAAACGAAATCAAGAACTTTCTTCAGTTTTTGCGTTCCGAGAAACCACCCTCTCCCTCTCTCTCGTGTTCTTATTCGTCTGATGTTCAGCCGTCCAGGCAAACGCACAGCCACAAAATTACTAAAATACCCTTGATGATTACCCGTAATTACTCACTGTGGGGTTTACTACCACCTCCTCTTTTAAACTCTGTTTAAAATTTTACTGATCCATTGAATTGAAATCTTTCACCGTTTAATGTCTTACCTAATCATAGTTACTGTCCGATATTATGTATTTTAATCAAGTTTTAACCTGATTAATTACGAAACTTGTCAAATTGCAGGAAGTGGGGCCCATCCGGGATTTTATGTTGTTTCTCTGGTCGGCATTTTCTTTTGGTGGGATGAATCTCTTTTATGAGCTGAGGAATCCACATTTTTCTTCTTTCCTAATTTTCTTTTCTTCTTTTAAACTATTTGAGGCCCACAATTATTCTATATTTAACTTATTGTTATAAATATGGAATTCAATATGAAATAGCTAAATAAAAGTTTTACCTTTCAAAAATATCTATTTAGCATATCAGTCAGTCATCAATCCAAATAAACTTTTTTTATTTATAAAAATCTAAAAACTTATGGCATTATTAATCTACCTGTCTTAATCTAACTAAAATTATTTTACAGTAATAATAAATTAATTCTATAGATATATTGTACATTAATTGATTAATTATCAGTAAAACATGATTTTTTTTTATCTAATAATAACTGAAGTTTATTGGATATATTTTTAAAAGAGTTAAAGTTGTTTTTTTCTATTATCTTATCACAACGAAATTAAATGTTCGAAGCTCACGAATTGTTGGATTATTGAAACCCTTAATCACAACATTTGACAAACTCATAACGCATTAAGCTTTGACTTATTATTACTTTAAAACAAATTACACCCGATAATCAAATATAATGAATTAATCAATGACAACAGTGGCAATTCAACGTAAACAAATTATATGGATTTTACTCCCAAACAATTCGTTTTCTCATTTTGTTCAACCCTTTCTCCAAACCCACGTGTGTAAAATTTCAATTATTTTTTATTTGATCTATTCGATTTTTTTTATAAAAAAAATACATATTCAATGTCATTTTTCATTCTATTTTCATAGATAAAAAATTTAGTTTTTCGAAAAAAAATATTGTGAACATACGTATATATTACCATCGGATCCTCACGTTTGATAGCGACGCGTCTAGAGGGAGGAAGGAAGGTCGCAGTGAAGAACACAAGTGACAAGACACGCGTCCGAATTGGCGGCCAAGTGATTTGCTCTTTGTCCGTGCTCGGCCCCCCCGTCCTCGTGTCACTGTCTCTTCACTCATCAAACGGTTCTGGTTCGTTCTCACTCCCCTGGTTTTAGATCTCAGCCGTATATCAGATTCTCCGTCGCGGTCGGATAAGTCCCAAAGTGAATCAACGACAGTAATAACCACCAATCTCAATGGAGGGATCTGTTTGTTCACATGGAATCTTCACACGTCTTTTTGGTGCGTTCGATTCGAATCTCTTTTTTTCCACAATGTTTAATTTGCATTTCGGTAACCAACAAATGACTTCTTAATATTCAGTATGCCGTTAAATTATACATGGAAAGGAATATATTACCGTATTATTTCGAAGGATTCATCAGTAAATACGAATATCTTTTTTTTTTTAATTTTAAAAATTGTACTGATTCAGTTTTATATTGAATTTTATTCGATTTGTTTTTTATAATACCGTAAATATAATATTATTATACGAACGAGAACCAGATTTCTTGGAATGGGTTGATACCACACCGCCACGTGCAGCATGCAAACAAATCGATTGTCTAGAGATGGATCACCAACTCGGCCCATAAACAATAAAAGGCCATTAACCAAAGCCCAACCCAAACCCACTAGAAATTATTCCCACGTGACGGAAATGTAACTAAAACCAAACAGCTTCCAACGTTGTCGGAGATTGGCCCGAGATCAGATCGGCTGTACTGAACCCTGACTCCACCGGATGGCCACCGGACTCCTAACCACGTGATCACCGTCGGTCCATTCGATCGAACCAAACTCTTCTCTCGGCTCAGCTCCGACTCTTCCGCCTAGCACCACGCTCCTGAACGTCACCTCGTACTCCAACTCTCTCTTCTCCTTGCTGAACTCAAGCCTGCTCGGTGACACTTCGATCTCCACGTTTGTTGGAGAGTTTATCCCCACATTGTACACAGCATCGGCTTTGCTTCCGACATTTTTCACAACTCTTCTGTACTTCACAACCTCACCGGATGATCCCAAAACGGCGACGAGAGATGGGTAGTTGAGATCCCCGGGGGTCCTCAGCTTGCTTGTCTCGCAAGCATTAAACAGCTTTGGATCATGGATGAAGACTGAAATCGCCGGCCAATCATATCCGACTGCACAGAGGAATGCAACGTATTCTTTCATGTCTATGTCGTAGACCAAACCCGGATCCAAAGCTTTGTTTGGATCGACGTGTCCTGCTCCGTGGATGAACGGGTTCGAGGATTTACCGGTGGCAAGGTCTTTGATGGATTCGCCAGAATTGTCGACATTGTAAGCGGTGGTCACGAGGGCAGATTTGATCATCGCCGGTGACCAGTTTGGATGTGCTTTTCGGAGAAGAGCGGCGAGTCCGCTGACGTGAGGGCACGACATAGACGTGCCTGAGATGATGTTGAATGTGACCCGTCTTGGGTCAATATCCAAATCCGTCGGACCAACCGACCCGGTCCAACCCGCCAAGATATTGACTCCCGGTGCGATAACGTCCGGCTTAAGAATCTGCGGCGTCAGGTGGTTCGGGCCACGGCTTGAAAAGGCGGCGACTCTTGGTGCCGACGGAGATGGCCCTATCACGGTGCCTTCGAAACGGATGGTCGCTGTGGGAGACTCTGATGAAATCTTGATGTAGTCGCGGATTTGGTTACCGGCCGCGGATCCGACCATTGTCGCTGGGATGAGATGAGAATCGGCTGTGAGTTCTTCGCCGCTTTCGTCCGTGTTCGCCAGAATCATGCCTAACCCTCCGGCCTGCTTGACGGCGCTACCCTTCTCGACTCTGGCGTTGCCTCCTCTGTCACAGAGCACGATCTTGCCTTTCACCAACGACGAATTCAATTTCCCTGGGTAACACAATCTGCTTCCGCAATCGCCGGAGTACACCAGAGGGATCTGTGAATCCGAGAGAGAATCTTCCCCGGCGTACAGAGAAGTTCCATAGAAGACTCTTCCGTCGCCAATGACGGCATCTGCCGGAAACTCCCTGTCTATAGTGGAGGCACCAACGGTTAAGATCCAGGGAGCTATATTGACGGCAGTATAAGGGCCGGGACCGGAGTTTCCGGCGGAGCAGGACACGACGACGCCGTGCTGAGCCGCTCCGAAGGCTCCAATGGCGATGGAGTCCTCGTGGTATGCCGGTGCTAAACCATTGGCGCCGACGGAGAGAGAGATCACTTGGACACCATCGGAGACTGCCTGGTCCATGGCGGCGAGAATGTCAGAGTCGTAGCAGCCGCTGCTCCAGCAGATCTTGTAGGCGGCGATCCTCGCCTTTGACGCCATCCCACGCGCCTCCCCACGCGCGTACTGGTACAAGCTCGCGTTTGCCACCACCGATCCAGCCGCCGTCGACGCCGTGTGTGTTCCGTGCCCCTCCGTATCTCGAGGTGACTTGGATTCCTTCGAGTCATCCATGGATCCATTCAGATGCGATTCATATCCCTTGTAGAACGCTCGAGCTCCGATGAGCTTTCGGCTACAGGCGGAGGCAGGAAAATCCGGTCCGATCTCGCACGCGCCTTTCCAGGAAGATGGAACAGGACCCAGGCCGGAATCGGAGAAACTTGGATGCTCCGGCCAGATCCCGGTGTCGAGAACGCCGACGATCACGTCTTCACCGTCATCGGAATTGCTCCAAAGGCTGAAGTTCCCGGAGAAGCCGAGAAAGCGAGGGGTGTGAGTGGTGTGGATCTGATGGATTCGGTCGGGGATGACGGAGATGACGGCGGGGATAAGGCGGAGGAAGGCGACCTGAGAGGGGGAGAGGACGGCGGAGAAACCATTGACGGCGCGTGAGTAGGAGTATATGAGCGTGGCGGGGCGAGGGGAGGGAGGGAGGGAACGGAGGATGGAGGAGTGCCAGTGATGGTGGGAGGAGAAGAGGGAGGGCTTCTGAGATCTTGAGACGTGGACGATGAAGGTGGCCTGTGAGGCGTCGGATGAAGAGGTAGCAGAGAAGAGACAGAAGAAGAGAGAGAGGGAGAGGAAGATGGAGGAGGAGAGAGAGAGCTTGGCCATGGCCATGGCGATTGCGATGAATGATCCTTTGTTTCCACTACTTCCATCTTCTCAGCAATTTGACGGCTTCCGTGCCACGTCAGCAGGCTGCACATAATTGGTGCCGGTGAACGACGGAAATAGCCAATCAGATCGCTACACGTGGCGCTCCAACATTTTCTATTTCTGCACGCTTCTCGATGCTTAAATTGGTAGGTATAGGCAGACATTTTCATATATCCGATTTCCGATACGACTGATTTGGATCCTAACACTTTTCTGTCCGAATTTGGAAATTCGGATCCATCATCGACCAGTTTTTGAATTCAGGACAGCCGATGAGTATGGGAGTGATGCAAGGCAGTGCGGAGATGAGGAAGGGCAACGTTTTTTAAATTTTCCATTTAAATACAACTAAAACTCTTCTAGTTATCCGAAAATATAATTTCATTCTAAATCTTTGTTCACAACAAATATAACTCATAACAGCGAAATGATAAACATAAATCAATCACATTTTTTCTCCTACTTCATTCCGTGTTTTCTTCGGGTGATGTACATTGAGAGCTAAGTAGCCGGGTTAAGTCAGACACTCAGTACCTTTACTAATCCCGTCCGATTATATAACGCAGTCAGAAGCCGAGGCCGCGATATCACCTGGCCCATGATGCCAACCCACGGGATCAAGAATCTCAGAGACGGGTGGATCGGGTTCGGTGTTTTCCTAAGCAAGAAAACCGAGTGTACCACCAAATAGCAATGCCCATTAAGTATAAAGAGATGCGTGTTTGAGGACTCGTACCGTCTTGGCTGCTCCAGAGAAATACGAGCCTGGGAGGAGCCAACGTGACCCTCCTCCGAATCAATCTCTAGCAAGGGGCTTATACACTCGGTGCAAACGCATTTCCATGAACTGGAAGCAAAGTTGTAACAGCATCCGGTTTCTACCTCCTAGCATGTTTTCTGATAATTACATTTGCTGCCACAAAGAAGGCATAAACCACCTATCTCGATACATAAGAATGCAACAGCGATCCATACTGTCACTTTACCGATCAGCAAAGGCATAAGCGTGTGAATAGGAAGAAACTCAGGTCCCTAACGAAGCGTTTCTTATCGATCTTGACCTCCTTTTCCTTGTCCGCCACGCAAAGAGATACAATCCCAACAACAAAAACAGGCGTAACAGATACCGCACCACCCAAGACACTGTTAAGACCGACTCAGTCTTTTGTCCGAGCTAACAAAGGCGGGCTATACATACTTGGAAACATGTCTGGGCCTCCATTCCCGAGTGGAAGTAGGGTTACACCAACAACCGTTGTTGACAACCATAAAAGCTCTGAGAGCTTCTCCAATGAACAAACAAATGTAATCCACGACAGTATTACCCAACATCATATGACCGAAAAGCCTGAAATCTCCGCAACCGCAACAACAGTAGAAAAACGAGATAATCAAAGAATCCATCTGAGGAGCACACCGAGTACCGGGTTTGCTTTCAAGAACTCACATTGATCAGCAAAACCCCTATGATCATACGACCCTGAGCATAATGCAGCACTATCTCCAGCTCAAGCTGATATTACCAGAACCATTAGCCAACATCGATACATTCGTGTCAATGTGACTCATATGCCGGCGAATCACATCGAAACTGGGTCAACCCATCATCGAGTCTATCACCACTTCCACCGAATGGCAATCCCTTTAGAAAAGGGCTTCTGAGTACATCTCCTCGATCAAAGGAGAAGAAGAACAGAATTGCAAAACAAAATCCCTCGAAATTTGGGGGCTTTTTGAACTATACTGAGACATGTTACTGTCCTCATACACACCCTAATCTTCTATCTGAACAATATATTAACCATAAATCACCGGGAGGAAAAAACCTTAGAGATCTTAAAAACCTCACCGGAGCAAGCAGCGCGAACCTAGGGTTTCGATCAAATGATCACGAATGTAAGATCCCGGTTTTGAATTTTGATAACCGAAACCTAATTCGGACCCTTACCCGGATAAATTTGACCCGGAAGCGGTTTAAACGTGTTTTTCTCTCTCTCTTTTTTTGCCCACGTTGCATCTTTCGAAATTCTATAAAAATTCATCTGTAAATACATGAATTTTCATTTTTGTAATAGGAATACGCACTAATTTTAGGTAATATTTGTAAGTATGGTATAAGATTATCTTTTTGCAACTTCGTAGGATAATAGAGATATGATCAAATCGTCGCAACAAATGCAACAAATCGCCCATAAATAGGAAATGATGCAAGATTGATGTGGCGATCCGATCAGTGACTTTCCCCGACGTACACGTCTCATCGCTTCTCACTCTCTTTATAAACTCTCATCATCATAATTGGAGCTCCATTTTCTGGCATCTCCTATTCGATCCATAAGAAGGTGATTCCTCTCTTCCCGTTTATGTTTTTGTTTTTGGTGTTCCTGTTGAAATCTTGTTGCTTCGAGGTCTGTGTCTCTGCGTTTCCGTGATTTTGTTCGAAGTTTTGAGTACCCTTTTTCTCCTTTCCCACTTTTTTTTTTTCCTGTGTCTGTTTGGTTGCTGAGAAAGAAGCGGATTTCTGACGATCATCTGCCACTCTTCGCCCTTGAAAAGGGCCAGTGACTGTTGAACCTGATTTTCTTTTTTTGTTTCCCGCTTGGGAAAACAAAATTTTTCTCTTGAAGAATTGGGTGATTCTTCTTTACCAAAAAAAAAAAAAGAACTGGGTGATTCTTCATGCGATCATGCGATGGTATTTGGTCGATTTGATTGATTTTCTCGGAAACCAAAGCCTCGGATTTTACTTTTCATCGTTTCCGTGTTCAGTGCGATGTCGCTGTTGATCTTTTTTTTTTTTTTCTCGTGGTAACTGTTGTTATTGATCGTGGATCCGTGATCTCCCCTTTCGTAATCCGTGTGATTTTTGCAGAGATGGGTTCAGCGAACAAGGGGTACGAGTTTCTGAGCGAGATCGGGTTGAGTTCCAAAAACCTTGGGAACTACGTCGGTGGCAAATGGAAAGGAAACGGACCCGTGGTTTCTACTCAGAACCCAGTGAACAATCAGGTCTTTTTAATGAATCTCATAGGATTTAAGCATATGCATGGCCAATGGCATGACTCTGTGTTTGTCATCCGAAGATATACGACTTTACCCGTATTTGCATGTTGAGTTCGAAAAGATCGACTGCTTTAGGTGAAACTGGGCTGCTGATTGATAATGATTCTTGCTGTATCTGATGAAATACCAAACTAGCATCTGTTCGTTGAATCGGTTGTAGCCTGTGACTGTGGTGGAGAATTTTGGTATTGAATGGCTTTAGACGATGCAAAATGTCTACTCTCTTTTATGTTAGGTGAATTTCTTTTAGGTTGCAATCACATTGTCTGCCTAACAAATTTATTGTTCCTTCATGTCAAATGCAATGCATATGGTGTTTTGCAGTTATTGCCATGTACTTTTCATTGTATGTATTGATGCTATACTAACCTAGTGCTTCGTTCGTATCATGATTCAGCAAATTGCTGAGGTTGTGGAGGCGTCTATCGAGGATTATGAGGAAGGACTGAAAGCTTGTGCAGAAGCAGGGAAAACCTGGATGCAGGTTAAGTTCATAAATTGATTTAATTGGAATTTGTTTTGGAACATTGCTGATATTTTTTTTTATGAGTTCTTGTTTAGGTACCTGCTCCAAAGAGGGGTGAGATTGTGAGACAGATAGGTGATGCGCTAAGAGCTAAACTTGACCCTCTTGGTCGCCTTGTCTCACTTGAGATGGGAAAGATCCTTGCCGAAGGAATTGGAGAAGTTCAAGTACGCTCATTCTACAACGCGACGTTTCTGATCCTTGCTTCATTTCTGATAGCTACTTTTTATACGCATAATCTGACATTCTCTTCCACAATCTATGGGCTCGAGTTTTAGTCATAGCTTGACCATACTCTATCTTCCATAAATGTATTGGTAAGCATAGCTAGATAGATCAAACATGCTTAGGGCCAGAGCTTGGCTTGCATAAACTTAAATCTGTGAACCCATTATCTGTTCATCTGATGTTGTCCAGTGTCCATAATCGGTCTTTCATGTATTGAAACCCGATGTATAAGCTGCAACTTTTTGCAGGAAATAATTGACATGTGTGATTTCGCTGTGGGTTTGAGCCGACAACTCAATGGTTCAGTGATACCTTCTGAACGTGAGCGCTTGCCTAATCTCGCTAATCTTTTATGTCCATAACAAACATTCTTTTGGTAAAATCTATATTTTTTTGGCAAATTTGCTCCTCAAAACCCTTAATTAAGAGATTCTCTATTTTACTGATTCCTCTTTTGTAAAAAAAGTTTTACTTTCTGACTGATCATTTTTTTGTTGCAGGCCCAAATCACATGATGTTGGAGGTAAGTTGCAAGTTTGCATCTTGGAGTTACAATAGTATACTTTCTTTCAGCGTGGTTAACATTTTGCTTGGATATCATAATACAGATGTGGAATCCTCTTGGCATAGTTGGTGTTATCACGGCATTCAACTTCCCATGTGCAGTTCTTGGTGAGTTCCTCTCACAATTTGAAATCTTGTCTATCATCAGATTTTTTTTTACGGTATGGCTATGTACTGGCTAACATCGGATTGCTGATAAAATTCTGCCAGCATTTCTACCCAGCTCTGCAATTTGATTTTCTGACTCTAATGTGAAACTGTGCGCTGAAATTTGGTTGAAACGGCTGATACTATGGACTGTGCATAGCATTTTAGATTTGCCACGTCATGATTTAGCTTTCGTGACAAGAACTTTTACTTATGCTCCGTGCCCTTTCGTTCGGGTGCTATGGTCTAATGTTGCAGGCTGGAATGCTTGCATTGCACTGGTGTGCGGAAACTGTGTTGTCTGGTAAGTAATGGCATTGACCAAATATGGATCTTTGATGATTACCTTGTAATTTCTAGAAAGATTTTGTAACTATTTCAATGGTGTTTATGGGATTGACAATTTCCATCTGTTGAGGACAACGAGCATAATGTTGTCTTAATCGTTTATTTGGTCTGGTTTAGTGTAAGCTAATACACATAATTCTACAGGAAAGGAGCTCCAACTACACCGTTGATCACTATTGCAATGACGAAGCTAGTGGCTGAAGTTCTGGAAAAGAACAACTTGCCCGGTGCAATTTTTACAGCTTTCTGCGGTGGTTCTGAAATTGGTCAAGCAATAGCAAAAGACACTCGTATTCCTCTAGTTTCCTTTACAGGAAGCTCAAAGGTACAGTCACTATAAGATTCTTTACCTGACCAAACCAACTAAAACACTCAAAGCCGTTTCTTCTCTGTTGTCCTAAGATATGCTTAGCTTTGACATTTCTATAAGGGTATAACGTAACTATGTAAATGATTTAACCTATGTTTCCACTGTATTTTCTCTATGTAAGGGTATTATAGTACAATATATGTATATACAGGTCCAATAACTTACATAATTATGATAATATCTTATAATTTCACCTATGCAAATAGGTGGGCTTAGAGGTACAACAAACGGTGAACGCAAGATCAGGCAAGACGTTGCTTGAATTGAGTGGAAACAATGCAATAATAGTCATGGATGACGCTGACATACAACTAGCTGTCCGATCTGTTCTGTTTGCTGCCGTTGGAACAGCTGGTCAGCGTTGCACAACTTGCCGTAGGCTGGTACTAACATAATCTTCTCCATTTTTTTAAAATTTTTACGTACGCTTTCATGCACTTGTAACAAACGATAGTCAATTGTTTTAGTAATACCCCCGGTTTTTCCTGTCTTCTAAGCTTTTGCATGAGAGCGTGTATGAGAAAGTTCTTCCTCAGCTGCTTGACTCGTACAAACAAGTCAAGATCGGTGATCCTCTCGAGAAGGGTACCTTGCTAGGTCCACTCCATACTCCTGAATCAAAGAAGAATTTTGAGAAAGGAATAGAGATTATCAAATCCCAGGCAAGTTCCTTGCTTTCTGCTGTTTCTTTCTGATATATATGTGTATATACATAGATAGAATATGCCATATTCCTTCCTCAGTGTTCAGCTGAAACCTCTTGCCACGCTTAAGGCTTGTCAAATGTGATGACTGGTGAATATGATCCTTCCCTGATTCGCTCTTTCCACCCTTCCACTAAAATTGCAGCACAAATTCTTTTCTTTCTGAAGATGATGCGTTAAGCCTATAGAACTCCTCCTTTACTTACCTTTTCGACCAGAGGATCCTTTGCATCTGATTGACTAAACCCTTTTAACGTTGCAGGGCGGGAAAATGCTGACGGGCGGAAAATCCGTGGAAAGAGAGGGAAACTTTGTGGAACCTACAATCGTGGAGATTTCTCCCGACGCAGGTTGCGTTAAAGAAGAGCTCTTTGGTCCTGTTCTTTATGTTATGAGATTTAAGGTAACAAAGTCTCAGACATTATCTGGTTTTTTCCTAACTCAAAAGTGAAAGAAGTGGATAGTTCCGTACCGATCTCTGTACCCTTCTCTTGCAGACTTTCGAAGAGGCTGTAGCCATAAATAACTCGGTTCCCCAAGGTCTGAGCAGCTCTATTTTCACTCGTAGACCGGAAACCATCTTCAAGTGGATCGGGTTAGTATCCTGAATCGAGAAACGATTCATCACCCAGCTTTTTTTAAGTTCATATACTGTATCTATCTGGTGCTGAATGTTACTGCGAATGAATATATGGTTATCTACCCACTATCCAGGCCTCTTGGAAGTGACTGTGGCATTGTGAATGTCAATATTCCGACCAATGGAGCCGAGATCGGTGGAGCTTTCGGTGGCGAGAAAGCGACGGGTGGAGGCCGAGAAGCTGGGAGCGACTCCTGGAAGCAGTACATGCGTCGTTCCACCTGGTAAAATTCCCATTCTACCCTTAACCGGCTTTGAGTTTTTTCTCCCTCTCATTCTTGAACTCTAAAGACTGCTCCTTTTTCCCTCTGGACAGTACGGTCAACTACGGGAACGAGTTACCCCTGGCGCAAGGAATTAACTTCGGTTAAGCACAGTTTTCCGGTTTGTATTGTATTTCTAACCGGAATCGGTAATAACCGGTTGTGTTATCGGATTAAAGACTAAAGAGTATCATCATGCATGCATGCATGTAATCGAACCGGATCGATGGAATAATTATCTTTTCGTTATCATAAATTAATCTCATCTCAGACACAATCAGCCCTAAATCCCTAACATCGGATCGAAAGCTTCGCCATTTTGCTGGGTGAACTACGCCACGTGTCGTCCCAGAAAAATGCCACGTGAATATTCCATTTATTAGCAAAACAAGACTACAAAGAAGTATATATCAAGCAAATTATCAACAAATGGAGCAAACGTCGAGGATGATGCAATGTTGCAACAAAACAACACACACACGCACACACAATATGCTTACATTGCAGGAGTTCTCTGGTAGAAAGAACAGATATGTCTGGTCACTCCGCCCAAGAAGATGTAGAGAGGATTCAGCATATCTTGATCCAATTGCTACCCGACAACCAGCATCGAACACTCCATGGAGGAGAGAAAAGAATTTCAAAGAATCGATGTCCTACTCCCCTTCACTGAGACCGCCTCCTCAAGTGCGGGGGTGCAGAATATCCCTCGAACAAATCCAGCACGGCCATCTCTAGATCTTCCACCGAGTATTTCAAATAATTCTCCGGGTGTCTTCCACTCTCTATATGCGTCCTATACCGCCCAAGAAACGACCTGTACGCAGGGATGAGCTTTTCCGACAGAGATATCCTAAGTTCCTCCCTTAGCTGCGCATCTGGAATCGACCATGTGGATTGAGTTCTGTGAACCTCTTCAAACATGGCGTTGAAGGTTTTAAACCTCTCCCTCAATGCGCTTCTTGAGACACCCGAAGAGAAACTTCCACTCACGTGTAACCCTTCGTCTCTCAGGCAATTCAGCACTCTTACCCATGTGGCTCTCTCGTAGTTGGTGGCTGCGTGCCTGAAGATCCCCATAAGCTTCTTTAAATGATCGTCTCCTATCAGTTCTCTTAATTCTGGTGAGCCTTTCCCCTTTTGGACAATGTAATGTACATTGTTCATGATGAATATGTGGGCTAAAGCTGTGTCTCTGTAGTGCTTTGATTTCTCTTCCAGGTTGAATTGTAAGATCATGATTATCCATATCAGATGCAAAGCTAATGCAGATTTACCCTCTGTTTCAGTCAAATCCAAATCCGGCATGTTTGAATCATCTGACTGTCTCGACCCAGTAGACGGTTTCGACATGATAAGTTCATCCAGAGTTTCCTTGTAATCAGAGATATAGTTGATGTAGTTCATCACATACCTTGTCAAAGGATGTATAGTTCCGCCAGGCACTGGAACTGTGGAGGGTTCACGAAGAACTGCATTCTCAAATTCGGAGAGTATGCCTCTCGCAGCTTCTGCCAGCCTCGATAGAATTTCCGTGGCTTGAGCCGGAATTGAATCCGGTGACGACTTGTAATCGAAGATCGCTTCCATATCTGGCAACAAGTCAGTCAAAGCATCGTGCAAATCCAAAATCTTGAACAGCTTCTCAGGAGATCTTCTGCTGATACTTATGGCCTCGGGGAAAGTGAAAAGCTGAAGAGCAGAGCTCTTGACGGTCTCCATGAAGCACGTCTCGTCCATGGCCGTGCCTATGCCTTCAAACACCTGTTCGCAGAGCCTCTTCTCGCTGGCGAAGACGACCCTAACGCAGACCTTCGCCGCACGGATCCACCGCCGGATCTTCCCTTCCACAGCCTCCCACCGGAGCCTCTGCACATCTCCGATGCTCAACTTCCCAATCCCTAGTTGCTTCAGTACAGTATCCATGGCCGATTTCCGTACGTTTCCGTACACCTGGATGCACTCGCGGTGGTAATCAGCGGCTACCATCCGCTGCGCAATCGATCTCAGGTCAGAAACCGCCTCCGGCGATATCAGATCGATTTCGCGTATGCTGCTCATGGATCTGCTACTGCTCCTTCTGCTGGATAACCGGCTCGAACCCGAACCATCTGGCAGATTTGATTCTTCCTCTTCCGCATAATCACCACCACTTACGCTGCTGTCTTCTCCGAGCTCAGCGCGCGAAGAATGAGATGAGGAGGACAAATCGAGAAGATGAGAGTCGGGCTCGAAACTAGACGCTTGTGAGAGGAGGATATTACGGAATTCGTCTTCGAGCCTAGCCATGGCGATTTGGATGGCAGAGCTTGCTTTGACCTCATGGCTGCTGCAAGCGCCATCGGCTTCTGCTGCTGCAGCAGCAGCGGAGGAGACGAAGACGGAGACGGAGGACATGGACCGTTGAATTTCATCAACGGCTCTGAGGTATCGATCCACCTCCTCCCGATCACTCTGGAAGATCATCTTCTCCCTCGCCTCTTCCGACGCCGCCGAGTCCCAACGGAGTATTATCTTCTCCGCCGTCTCCAACGACGCCACCTCATCCGAACCGGAGCCACCGCCGCAGTATCCGCTACTAATCTCCGGCGATTCCATATACAATCGACCACACAGGAATCAACAATCTGAGAAGCGAAACCGACCAGTTTCCTCCGCCGATCGATTCGCCGGGAAGTGAGATCTCTCGGTGGTTCAACGACAAAGAAGATTCTTGAAGGAGACTGGTAGATTCAGACCGAAATTACTTTCCTTTCCAATTTGTAAAACCTTTAAAAAAAAACTCTCATCCCATCAGAAGTCTACTACGGCAGCTGTCTGTTTTTTTCTCTTCTCTCTATATTTTTGGAAGTTTCCAATAGGTGGAAAAAAAAAAGGGAAAAGTTTTTCTTTTTTTCTTTTAAATTATTTTAATTATATTATTTGAACACTTGTAGTATTTTATAGGTATCTGAATTTTGAATATCGAAATGGTAAGGGGTGAGTTTCGAGATTCAATTTAGAATTTTCCCCGTTCGATTCGAAAATGATTTATTCAGTATTCTATAAATTATATCAAATTATTATCATATATTATTCGATTTATTTTGATTCCGTTTTCATTACAGTTCAGTTTTGGTTTTTGTTAAAAAGATTTAAATTTTTTAAATAAAAATTCAGTTTTTCGAGAATTTTATAAAGTAAGGTTCGTTTTGTTTCAATTGCGAAAAATTCGGTTCTATAAAAAAAATATACCATTTAAAAAATTTTGAATGATACAATTTAGAAAAAATATTGAGATTTTGAGTTTGATACGAATCGTTTCTAAAGAATTGAACCGAAACAAAACGAAATTTAATGAATCCGAAAACACTTCGATTCGAAGTAGTTCACCACTGAAATCCCATAAAAACTGAACCGCACAAGCCATGGTTTTTTTGGAATATTAAAGACACTTAGACATAAATAATTCCTTAGGATCTTGCCATTTTATGGTGGGATCGAACCGATTACTTGTGTTATTGGATAAGATGTGACATATATTCCTAGGCATTAATGTGTATCTTGCCTGCGAGATATAATAAATGCATGGATTTATAACTTTTTTTTTTTGAAAAAAATCATAAAATCATGGAAATGAATATTCGGTTTCAATATATAAACCTGACTCAATAATATATTTATATATATAACAAAATATTAGCTACCGTCTTTAAAAAATAATTTAATTCTATGTAGTTTAAACTATTAAATCAGTGTAGATGAGAAATGAATATAAAATATTGTTTTATAAAATATAGTGTTTTTAAATAAGAAATTTCCGACTTATCATTTAATCCAAATATTAACTTTCGATATTAGAGGTTTTTATAGTACTAGAGCGAGTACGAAATCTAAATCTAAATTTGAATTTGTGATATTTGAGATTTTGTTTTCCATAATCCATACTTGTGTCATAGGAGTAACTTTACATCGTCAAAAATAAATATTTTGGATAATATTAACTTTGAATGTATAAATGATATCATTACGTGAAAAATATAATCAGATTCGTTATGCTTGTGTTTAATATAATTTCGAAATTGAATAAAAAATTGGCCTGGTTGGTAATTAACTCTGTCTTAATATTTTTAAAATTTATTTTAATTATTAAAATGCTTTATGATTGTTCGCAATTTATTTTTATCGGTAAAACTACGTATAAAACTTGGTAGAAATATAATTATTTGTAAAATAATTCTATTAGCAAATTTAATAAAATATACAGCTAGTATAATTCTGTCATCTGGATTATTCACCATACTAATAATAACAGTTATTATATTATGGACTGAAACTTTTTGCAGTTCGATCAATAATTTTGTTTAGTTGTTTAACAAAAATAATAATAATAATAATAATAATAATAATAATTTTGTTTAGTTGACCGACCGGTTTCACAAGTATGCATGCTCACACGTGCATGATTTTTTATAGTTTAATATAAAAACTGAATATATATATATATATATATATATAATGAAAATGGATCAAAAATCTCATTTGAATATTTATTACATTATTGGGTGGCGGTGGATAATTTCCGAGAGTTTTGGTCGTCCAGATATGTATAATGTGTTAAAAAAGATCAATTCTTTTTTTGTTTAAAAAAGGAAATATGATTGGTTTACTAAAAAAAAAGAATATGATATTTTATCATCTTACATACGAAAGGATATGAAGTATGTACACCATAGCCTAATTAAATTTATAATATCTTACAAAGACTTGTCATCATCATGAGATTAATGTCATTTTTTATATATTTTGATTGATTAAAATATGCACATATAAAATTAGTTGGGATATTTTAGATTGTTGAAAAATATGGCCTATAATTAAACTATGTTAGAATCGGTCCAAAATCGAAAAATTCAAATAAAATACAATGATGGTTTCTTTCGCAACACAACAAAAGGGATATGTCCCCTCATGAATTATAAGATCTCATACATTGTATATCCGCCGTGCGATGTTTTTATTGTTGACTTGGACCCACCAAACCAAATTATCAATTTCCACGTGGATAAGATTGTAATGGCATGAAAAATTTAGGTATTTAATTATATCTCGTTTCGGTTGTTATTTACGGTTTTATAAAAATCACGATGATAGGATTCTTTCATATTTCCGATTGAATTAGATTTTATTCAATTTAGTTTTAATATTTTCTTACAACATCCCCGGATTCAGTTCAAATTTTTAAAATTTTGTGTAATTCCTATAACGGATTCGAGTTCAAGAACCGATTAACGCGAATCAACACAAATGAGAAATTGCACACAAAGTTTTACGAATTCAGATTTAATAATTGAATCCTACGTATCGGCCAAGTGATTTGGTTAATCCACTAGTAGTTATCGAGAACACAACTTACGCACACGAATTACAAGATTTAGTGGGAACCTGTCATATTGCATCTATTGTCTGTGTTAGTATGTGTACTAAGCGGCTTGCATATTTTCTGTATGTTTGTCTGTCTTTTTCTGTAGAACATATCTGTTGCAGGAATCTGTTTTATCTCACCATGCGATCTATCATTATGAAGGATA